TGGGATGCTGGGAATCGAACCCAGGTCGGCCGCGTGCCAGGCAAACGCCCTCCCCGCTGTGCTATCGCTCCAGCCCCTGAGTGTTTACTTTCAAATGTCACCTAGTCCCTACTCTGAGCACTGTCGCCCTTGGACAGTGTACTCAACATGGGGAGAACACCTCCCCTGACTCAAGCTATGCCCCCCGTCAACATTAGGGTCTGAGGATGTGTCCCCTAAAATAATAGAACCTAGGGGCCTGGCTGGTCCCACCTTGTATGACAGATAAAGGTCTGAACCTCCTGTGAGGTGGAAGAAAGTCTCAGAAAAGGGTTTTTCTGGCCACTTGTGGGGAATAAGGTCTTTGGGATGCAGATATGGACAGAGGGGGTGGAAACTTGGGGGTAACCACAGAGGGAGGAGGCAGAGGCAAATAAATGAAAGGTGGGGGAGCGGGTCAGAGAGAAGGCGTGATGGGTAAGGTACTTGCCTTGCACACAGTTGACCCAAGTTTGATCCCTGGCACTGCATTCAGATCTCCTGAGAACAGAGGCAGGAGTAAGCCCTGAGCACCACCGGATATGACCCATTAAAAGAAAATATTTAATGAGGGGTGAAAGTTGGGGTGTGAGGCTTGGGGAGCTGAACCTGACAGTCTTGCACGTTGGGGTCTGCCCCCCGATCCTAAGCCAGACCGGAAGTGGCAGACCAGCCCATACTCCAGACAGAACCTTCTGGTCATTCTCTGGCCACTGCGCCCTCCAGCCCATGTTGTAAGCCCCACATGTGCCCATGGCGAGTTCGAGCAGCTTCCTAGTGGTGGAAGAGGAACTTGGGTCATTTATTTGCCTTGACAGAGCCAAAAATACTCATTATAACGTGCAATCAATATCCAGCCATATAAATGAGATGGTTTATCATCCTTCTCATCATATCCTCCTCTTGGAGGGTGATAAGAAGACTTGGGGGGTGGGGGAGGGTCTTCGTTCAGTCCAGCCACATTTTAGTGGCTCTCTGAGAGAGCAGAGTGTCCAGGTGCTGGAAACCCCACAGTTGGGGGGCCAAGGACCGGCTCCTTACCCAGAGCATTGATTAGCCCAGAAAGCGACCTCATCTCTCCCCATTCCCCACCACATGCTTTGCTGGTGAAATGAGGGGTGCACCCAGACCTTCCCAGATGGCACCCACACACGTCTGAGATCCCGTGTGGATAGAGCCAGAGTAGGCTGGTGGTGAGAAATGCAGAGCTGACCTGTCCCCAAGCTCCCCAGGAAACAGCCAGAATCAGGATAAGGCCCCAAGATGCTGTTGCATCCCTAAGTGCAGTATCCCAAAGTCTCCTCCCCCCAGAAAGTCCTACAGAGAGGCTGGTTGCATCTTCCTGGGTGTCCCCGAATGGGGAGATCAAAAGCACACATCGGAGTGGGGCAGAAATCCCAGAGCTACTGCCTCTGGCTACTCGGCCAGCAGCTAGATCTGCCCTGAGCCTTGTTTTTTTCTTTTCTTTTCTTTTCTTTTTTTTTTTTGCTTTTTGGGTCACACCTAGCAATGCTTACGGGTTACTCCTGGCGGTGCTCGGGGGATGCTATGGGATGCCGGGGATCGCACCTGGGCCAGCTGCATGCTAGGCAAATGTCCTACCCGCTGTCCTGTTGCTGGGGTCACAAACCCAGTAATTCTTGGGTTTTTTTTTTTTTTGCTTTTTGGGTCACACCTGGCAATGCTCAGGGCTGATTCCTGGCTCTGCATTCAGGGATCACTCCTGGTGGTGCTCGGGGGACCCTATGGGATGCTGGAAATTAAACCTGGGTTGGTCACATGCAAGGCAAAAGCCCTGCCCGCTGTGCTATCGCTCCAGCCCCTGCCCTGAGCCTCTTTGGGCCCTGGGGGGTGCCTATTTGGGCTGGGGTGATACAAAGCAGTTTGGGCACTGCTTCATACCCTTTGCCAGCTCACATCAAGGCCATAAGCATAGAAAGCCAACCCCGCAGGACCAGATTCTAGCAAAGTGGGCTTGGCCCTTGACCCAGAAGTCCTTAGCACATTAGAGGCAGTTGGGTGTGGGGAGAAGACAGCCCTCAGTAGAAGGATCTCAGGAAAGGCCTCTGGGGGTCTTGACCAGTCCCTGCCTGCGGAGACATTCCTGAGTGATGCTGGGGTACCCCTCACCCCATAGTTTGGGTGGGGTTCTTTTACTGTCGCTGGTCTCCTAACTGCTTTATAGGGGACTGGTATCATGTCAGAGGGAAGCTATACAATGACAAGATCCGAGCTCTACAAGAATTATAGTTTCATATTTTACAAACGGTCCAAAACTGAAGTCAGGAACTCCTTTTATAAGAGCCTTTCCCAAGGAAATCACTCGAGGGGTGGGGGCATGTAGCCAATGAAGTGTGAAGCATTATTATTTTATTTATTTATTTATTTGCTTTTTGGGTCACACCCGGCAATGCACAGGGGTTCCTCCTGGCTCTGCACTCAGGAATCACTCCTGGCGGTGCTTGGGGGACCCTATGGGATGCTGGGAATCGAACCCAGGTTGGCTGTGTGCAAGGCAAATGCCCTCCTCGCTATACTATATCGCTCCAGCCTCAGTGTGAGGCTTTTAATACCAAATATTGTGGGAAGCTGGCCATCTAACTAACCCAGAGGCCTACGTAACTCTGAAAAGCAGGTCCTGACTTGTGCAAATCTGGTACTGTGTCTGCTCTGACCGCAGCCTATGCATATCCTGAGTTATGTATGGTTATCTAAAAGAAAACATTTGTCACAGCCAGCCCAAGAATAAGAAGTAACTGACACTGATTAACCAAGCATATGAAACGTGTAGACTTTGTAACTGTCCTAACCATATATGGATATGACCTAGTGATGTAATTGCCTTCTGTGGTGTATGCAGTTTCCTGCATCGCAAGGTATGTAATACCCCTGCTGCCCTGAATAAAGTCTGCCCTGTCCTGTCTGCCTTATCCTGTCTGCTCTGTCCTGTCCTATCCTCTCTCTTAGCTTCTTGTCTCTTCTTGCATCTGCGTGTTCATTCGGCTGATCCCTCCTTGCACATACGGAACCCGGAATCCTCCCTGCAGGACAGGGAGGCGACTCCGTGGGTCCCCCCGCAAAATGTGATAAACTGTCATGGGAGGAAATTAAAACTTAAATGGGAAACAGTTGTGCAGGTATGGGGCAGAAAGTTCTGTATTGGTGAGCTGATGGAACCTTCAAGTGGATTGACATGGCCCGGAGTGATAGCACAGCAGGGAGGGCATTTGTCTTGCACGCGGCGGACCTGGGTTCAATCCCCGGCATCCCATAAGGTCCCCCAAGCACCGTCAGGAGTGATTCCTGAGTGCAGAGCCAGGAGGAACTCCTGTGCATCGCAGGGTGTGACCCCCAAAATGCAAAAACAAAAAGTTGTATCAAACGGATCAACAGATTGGACACAAGCCCTGTCAAATCCCCATAGGCTTGGGGGGTTTTATTTCGGGGGGAGGAGGGAAGACACGCTAAATCTCCAATTCACAAGGCAGGAGAGAGCCCTGGCGCCTTGACAAAAAGAACCTTCCCGGTTTCCCGATTTCAAAGCGCTCCCCAAAGCTATGGTAATAAATACAGCACGGTAAGGACATGGTGACAAATGTACAAATCAATCTCAGAGATCAAGAGGCTGAAGTCGCGCCCAGGATTTATGGCTCTTCCGGGTCTGACACGCGTGCCAATGTGAGCTCTGGGAAGGGGACTGGGATTCTCAGCCACATGTCAGAGAAGGAAGCTGACCTTCATCTCAAATATTAACCAAATGCCATGGAGGCCAGTGGCCCTCAAGTCGGTGGACACCATCCACGCCAGGGGATGCTGGAATAATCCGTGGGTGGGCGGGAGGGTTCACTTTGTTCTCTTAAAGGAGGCAGATTTTCAGGGTAAAGGGGCTGTTTTGAGTGATTTTTTTTTCTGAAAGGGCTTTAGGCCGGATAAGCTTGAGAATTCCTAGCAGACCCCCAAGGAACTGGATTTGTCCTGAGCAAGGAGAGAGTTGGCCTAGGGCTTGTGGGGGGCAGTATCCCAGACCCGCACCCCGTCATTCTCACACACTCTCTCCTGGGCTAACCCAGGCACTGGGCACCCAGTAAGGATCTCCAGCACCCCAGAGGGTCCCCCCCATAAACCAACTAGGTGTAGCCTCCCCCCAAACCAACCCCAACAAAAACTCCAGGCAACCTTGAGCACAAGATTCTTTTCTTCTCTCTTTTTTTTTTTCTCCACGACCCCCCTTCCTGTTTTCAAAAGGCTTCGTAAAAAAATATATGAAACCAGGTCAATTTTTACTCGTGTTTGTGGGGCAGGAACAGATTGGACAAGGAAAACAATCACAAAATAAATAGTTGGGGTTTTCTTTTTTCTTTTTAAAAAAGAGCATCTCCCTGTATTGTCACTTGCTTGATAGAGCAACTTTTGTGGACAGGCCGAGGTGGGGGGTGCCGGAGAAAAGGGGGGTGGTGGTGTGGGGGTGGAGGGGTACCTGGCCAGCATAGGAGAAAGCCAGGACCCCTGATAATAGCAAGGCCCTGGAAATAGGGGTGAGGCTGGCGGGGTGTGTGGGGGCAGAGAAGGGGTGAAACCCGTCCACGTGCTCTGCTGAATGGGGGGGGATGTCTCTTGGTAGGGGGTGGTTGGCGCAGGGGGGCACCCAGTAAGGACCAAAGCGGCCCTTTTAAGAAATCTGGTTAAAAAGAATACAAAAGTGACTCCGCTGGGGGCCTTGTGGATGGGCGGTGGGGGGTGGGTGTGGGAAGGGGCACGGAACCCTCCCCTTCCCCTGCATTCTGGAATGACGGGAATGTGTTCCGTGGCGGTTTGGCTGGTTCTTCGTATTTTTTCTTTTTTGCAGAATCGCTAATACACCCGCATCGGGCACCCCCTGCACCCCCACCGGCTCTGCAGCCACCTGTCCCCGTCCCCTGGGGGAGAGAGCTGGGCATGGGCCTGGCGGGGGTGCCAGGGGTCAACCGGCCGGTCTGGCCTGCCTTTAGCTGCAGAGCTTGCCCGTCTCGTACTCCACGGGGTTGGGGAGCCGGGAGTTGAAGGCGCGCAGGGACGCCTGGATGCGGCCCACCTCGTTGGTGGCCAGCTTGAGGCGGTGACGCAGCAGGCACGAGAAGAGGTCCAGCCGCACCTTGCCGGGCGGTGACAGCTGGTTGACGCGGTCCCGCAGCTCCACGAGCTGCAGCAGGGCCGAGTCCTGCGAGCCCTGCGTGTAGGGGTAGTCCAGCTGCAGGATGAGGTCGCGGATGGCCTCGGGGTCGAAGGGCAGGCTGTAGCCGAAGACCTGCATCGCGTCGATGCGCATGTAGCCCAGGTTCTGCGCGGGGTCGCCCAGCTCCAGCGGCTCGTAGAACGCCGTGTCGTTGGCGCCGCGCACGCGGCTGCGCAGGTACACGTGCACCGTCTCGAAGAAGGTCTTCCAGCGGTTGCCCAGCGTCAGCGTCCAGTTCTGGCACTGGGCGGCGGCCGCGCTGGCCACGTCCACGCCCGTGCGCTCCCAGGCCGGGTAGTCGCCCTCGCCCACGGGCACGAACCAGCTCTCCGAGTGGCTGCCCCCGAAGGGGTTGACGTAGATGGCCATCGCGGGCTCCAGCGTGCTGTTGCGGGTCAGGCAGATCTGCAGGGACAGGGCCAGCATCACGTGCACCAGCCCGGGCTTGTACTTGTTGCTCTTGAGCGTCAGCAGCATGCGCTTGCGCCACGACGGGTCGAACCAGCTGCCCAGGCGCAGGTCGTTGCTGATGAAGATCGAGTGCACCTCCAGGCGCCCGTCGCGCCGCTGCAGCAGGTAGCGCAGCTCCAGGTCCTGCAGGTCCGTCTCCAGGCCCAGGAAGTGCTCGGGCGGCTCGGCCACGTCCGGCCGGCACACGCCGCCCGGCGCCAGCGCGTAGCCCGCGTTGCAGGCGCCGCAGCGCGAGCTGTTGTCGGCCGCGCAGCGCGCGCAGGCCGCGCCCTCGCCCCAGGCGCACGGCACGGGGCCCTGGCAGGCCGGCGCCTCGGCGGGGCAGCTGCAGCTGCGGCTCGGCTCCAGGAACGTGCCCACGGCCGCCGCCGCCGCCGCCGCCGCCGCCGCGCCCTCGCCGCAGTACAGCAGCGACTGGATGCGGTTCCACCAGGAGGGCAGCGACCTGCGCGGGAGCAGGGCGAGGGTCAGGCAGGCGGGAGGCCCCGCCCCGGAAGCGGCCCGGGGAAGGCCCGCGCTGGCCCCGCCCCCGCCGGAAGTCCCCGGGCCTCGGCGCTCCATCGGGAGGGCCGGACCTCGCCCCCCACCGGAAGTCCCCACCCTTTAGTTCTCTATGAAGGCCCCAGACCTCACCCTTCACAGGAAGTGCCCGTCCTCAGCGCTCCATCGGGAGGGCCGGACCTCGCCCCCCCACCGGAAGTGCCCGCCCTCAGCGCTCCATTGGAAGGGACAGACCTCCCCCTCCACCGGAGGTCCCCGGGCCTCAGCGCTCCATCGGGAGGGCCGGACCTCGCCCCCCCCACCGGAAGTGCCCGCCCTCAGCGCTCCATTGGAAGTGACAGACCTCCCCCTCCACCGGAAGTCCCCGGGCCTCAGCACTCCATTGGAAGGGCCAGACCTCACCCTTCCACCGGAAGTCCCCAGGTCTCAGCTCTCCATTGGGAGGGCCGGACCTCGCCCCCCCACCGGAAGTCCCCACCCTTTAGTTCTCTATGAAGGCCCCAGACCGTACCCTTCACCGGAAGTGCCCGCCCTCAGCGCGCCATTGGAAGGGACAGACCTCGCCCCTCCACCGGAAGTCCCCACCCTTTACTTCTCTATGGAGGCCCCAGGCCTCACCTCTCCACCGGAAGTCCCAGGGCCTCAGCACTCCATTGGAAGGGCCAGACCTCACCCTTCCACCGGAAGTCCCCAGGTCTCAGCTCTCCATTGGGAGGGCCGGACCTCACTCCTCCACCGGAAGTCCCCACCCTTTAGTTCTCTACAGAAGGCCCCAGGCCTCGGCTCTCCACCGGAAGGACCCAGGCCTCACCCCCTTCACCGGAAGTCCCAGGGCCTCACCCCCCCCACCGAAGTTCCAGGGCCTCAGCTTCTCCATTGGAAGGGCCAGACCTCACCTTTCCACCGGAAGTCCCCAGGTCTCAGCTCTCCATTGGGAGTCCCGGACCTCATTCCTCCACCGGAAGTGCCCGCCCTCAGCGCTCCATTGGAAGGGCCAGGCCTCACCCTTCCACCGGAAGTCTCCACCCTTTAGTTCTCTACGGAAGGCCCCAGGCCTCAGCTCCCCACCGGAAGTCCTCAGGCCTCCCCCCTCCACCGGAAGTCCCCAGACTTTAGTTCTTCACAGAAGTCCCTAGCCTCAGCCCTCCACTGAATTCCCCAGGTTTCGGCTCCCACCGGAAGTCCCCGGGCCTCAGCGCTCCATCGGGAGGACCAACCCTCACCCCTCCACCGGAAGTCCCAGAATTTGGTTCTCTACAGAAGTCCCCACGCCTCAATTCTCCACCGGAAGTCCCCAGGCCCCATCCCTACACCGGAAGTTCCCAGGCCTCATCCCTACACCGGAAGTCCCCAGGGGCCTCATCCCTACACCGGAAGTCCCCAGGCCTCATCCCTACACCGGAAGTTCCCAGGCCTCATCCCTACACCGGAAGCCCCCCAGGCCTCATCCCTACACCGGAATTCCCCAGGCCCCATCCCTACACCGGAAGTCCCCCAGGCCCCATCCCTACACCGGAAGTCCCCAGGCCCCATCCCTACACCGGAAGCCCCCCAGGCCTCATCCCTACACCGGAATTCCCCAGGCCCCATCCCTACACCGGAAGTCCCCCAGGCCACATCCCTACACCGGAAGTCCCCAGGACTCATCCCTACACCGGAAGTTCCCAGGCCTCATCCCTACACCGGAAGCCCCCCAGGCCTCATCCCTACACCGGAAGCCCCCCAGGCCACATGCCTACACCGGAAGTCCCCAGGCCTCATCCCTCCACTGGAAGCCCCCCAGGCCTCATCCGTACACCGGAAGCCCCCCAGGCCTCATCCCTACACCGGAAGCCCCCCAGGCCTCATCCCTACACCGGAAGCCCCCCAGGCCACATCCCTACACCGGAAGTCCCCAGGCCCCATCCCTACACCGGAAGTCCCCAGGCCCCATCCCTACACCGGAAGCCCCCCAGGCCTCATCCCTACACCGGAATTCCCCAGGCCCCATCCCTACACCGGAAGTCCCCCAGGCCTCATCCCTACACCGGAAGTCCCCAGGCCACATCCCTACACCGGAAGCCCCCCAGGCCTCATCCCTACACCGGAAGTCCCCAGGCCTCATCCCTCCACCGGAAGCCCCCAGGCCTCATCCCTCCACCGGAAGCCCCCAGGCCTCATCCCTCCACCGGAAGCCCCCCAGGCCTCATCCCTCCACCGGAAGCCCCCAGGCCTCATCCCTACACCGGAAGCCCCCCAGGCCTCATCCCTCCACCGGAAGCCCCCCAGGCTTCATCCCTACACCGGAAGCCCCCCAGGCTTCATCCCTACACCGGAAGCCCCCAGGCCTCATCCCTACACCGGAAGTCCCCAGGCCTCATCCCTACACCGGAAGTCCCCCAGGCCTCATCCCTACACCGGAAGTCCCCAGGCCACATCCCTACACCGGAAGCCCCCCAGGCCTCATCCCTACACCGGAAGTCCCCAGGCCTCATCCCTCCACCGGAAGCCCCCAGGCCTCATCCCTCCACCGGAAGCCCCCAGGCCTCATCCCTCCACCGGAAGCCCCCCAGGCCTCATCCCTCCACCGGAAGCCCCCAGGCCTCATCCCTACACCGGAAGCCCCCCAGGCCTCATCCCTCCACCGGAAGCCCCCCAGGCTTCATCCCTACACCGGAAGCCCCCCAGGCTTCATCCCTACACCGGAAGCCCCCAGGCCTCATCCCTACACCGGAAGTCCCCAGGCCTCATCCCTACACCGGAAGTCCCCAGGCCTCATCCCTACACCGGAAGCCCCCCAGGCCTCATCCCTCCACCGGAAGCCCCCAAGCCTCATCCCTCCACTGGAAGCCCCCCAGGCCTCATCCGTACACCGGAAGCCCCCCTGGCCTCATCCCTACACCGGAAGCCCCCCAGGCCTCATCCCTACACTGGAAAGCCCCCCAGGCCTCATCCCTACACCGGAAGCCCCCAGGCCTCATCCCTACACCAGAAGTCCCCAGGACTCATCCCTACACCGGAAGTCCCCAGGCCTCATCCCTACACCGGAAGTCCCCAGGCCTCATCCCTACACCGGAAGCCCCCCAGGCCTCATCCCTACACCGGAAGTCCCCCAGGCCTCATCCCTACACTGGAAGCCCCAGGCCTCATCCCTACACCGGAAGTCCCCAGGCCTCATCCCTCCACCGGAAGCCCCCCAGGCCTCATCCCTACACCGGAAGCCCCCAGGCCTCATCCCTACACCAGAAGTCCCCAGGACTCATCCCTACACCGGAAGTCCCCAGGCCTCATCCCTACACCGGAAGCCCCCCAGGCCTCATCCCTACACCGGAAGTCCCCCAGGCCTCATCCCTACACTGGAAGCCCCAGGCCTCATCCCTACACCGGAAGTCCCCAGGCCTCATCCCTACACCGGAAGTCCCCAGGCCTCATCCCTACACCGGAAGCCCCCCAGGCCTCATCCCTACACCGGAAGTCCCCCAGGCCTCATCCCTACACTGGAAGCCCCAGGCCTCATCCCTACACCGGAAGTCCCCAGGCCTCATCCCTCCACCGGAAGCCCCCCAGGCCTCATCCCTACACCGGAAGCCCCCCAGGCCACATCCCTACACCGGAAGTCCCCAGGCCCCATCCCTACACCGGAAGCCCCCCAGGCCTCATCCCTACACCGGAAGTCCCCAGGCCTCATCCCTACTCCGGAAGCCCCCCAGGCCTCATCCCTACACCGGAAGTCCCCAGGCCTCAATTCTCTGCAGAAGTCCCCAGGCCTCAGCTCTCCATCAGAAGGGCCAGGCCTCACCCCTCCACCAGAAGTCCCCAGACTTTAGTTCTCCAGGGATGTCCCCAGGCCTCATCCCTCCACCGGAAGTCCCCAGGCCTCAGCATGCTTCCGTCTCCCCACGAGCCAGACCCCGCTGCTGAAGGTGATGGGAGACATGGAATCAGTGAGCAGATCGCAGCGGTTGTTGCTAGAAACACCTGCCGGTTTCTTTCTCATCCGCCAGGCCTCGGGGCTGAGCCAGGAGTCGCCCCAGGGGTGGGTGCTCAGGGCTCACTCCTGGCTCCGGGGACCATCCGCAGTGCTAGGGTCCGAACCTGGATTTGCAGCGTGCAACGTGCTGAACCCCTGTACTCTCTGTCTGACCCTCCAAAAAGACGGTTGGGGATAGACTCTGGTGGGTGAGCGTCAGTCTTGGGTCTCAGCCCTTGCCTAGCCTTGTTTCCTTCCCATGCAGCCCCCTCCCCCATACCCGCCAAATGGTGCAACGTTCACCTCCGTCCCTAGCTGAGAAATGCTGAATTGATATGTCCTGGTCACACCCGGCGATGCTCAGGGCTGACTCCTGGCTCTGCACTCAGGAATCACTCCTCGCCATGCTCGCAAAATATATATTTTGGGGGTGTGCGCACATCTAGCGATGCTTAGGACTGTCCTCAGGGATCCCTCTTGGTGGGGGCTCAGGGGACCACATGGGTGCTGGGACCAGACCTGGGTCAGCTGCATGCAATGCAAATGCCCTGCCCACTATATCCCTGGAATAATAAAATATCCCCAAATACAGCTCCTTGATCCCGGTGCTCACGCCACAATTTCCCCCAGGAAAGACGTGAGTGGTTTGGGGATCGGGGGGAGGGGGTCCAGGACGGGGCTCACCTCTCCTTGGGCAGGCGGAAGCGAGGCTGCCGGTGACACCGTTTGCAGAGGTTGAAGAGGCGGCGGACGATCCGGTGGGTCTTGGCCAGCAGCGCCTTCAGGCTGGCGCCCAGCTGCTCAAAGCGGTCCTGGAGGTCGCTGTCGCCGGCCCAGAACTGGGAGATGGCCGAGGAGTTGAGGAACCTGTCATCAGGGAGCCTCTTCAGCAGGGCCTGGAACTCCTCTAGGGGAGAGGGCGTGGCGCTGAGCGCACAGGCAGGTGGGGGACCCCCTCCCCAACAGCACCCCGAGCCCCAGCCTCTGCCTAGGGAGGGGGTCCTGGGTGCATTTCTCAGTGCCTTTGCTCAGAAACCGTCAGAAGACCCCAGGAAGCCTGGCTTCCCCTTCACCCCAGCCATCCTCGCCCTGATGTGCTTCTGAAGTTCAGAACCCAGGGCCAGAGAAGCCATAGCCCAGGCCAGCGGCGAGGGCATTTGCCTGGCATGCGGCCAACCTGGGTTCAATCTCCGGCATCCCATAGGGTCCCCTGAGCACCACCATGAGTAATTCCTGAGTGAGGAGCCAGGAGGGACCCCTGAGCATCACCGGGTGGGACCCAAAAAAGAAAAAAAAAGCAGTAGTAATATTATGAGTGTGTTATTAATACATTGTAGTAATAAAATACTGTGTTCAAAGACTTCAGTATATTATCAGTATCATAAGAGGATTACATTCTGTCCCTTGAAAGTATTAGTTTTGGGGATGGAGTGATAGCACAGCAGGGGTCGGGCGTTTGCCTGGCATGCAGCCAACCCAGGTTCGATTCCCAGCATCCCATATGGTCCCCCAGGCACCGCCAGGGGTAATTCCTGAGTGCATGAGCCAGGAGGAACCCCTGTGCATTGCCGGGTGTGACCCAAAAGGCAAAAAAAAAAAAAGAAAGAAAAGAAAATATTAGGTTTTTTTTTTTAAATGACTTTGGGGGCCAGAGAGAAAGCACAGTGGGTAGGGTGCTTGCCTTCTATGTGGCCGACCCGGGTTCGATCCCCAGCATCCCCTAGGATCCCCCGAGCACTGCCAGGAGTGATTCCTGAGCGCAGAGCCAGGAGTCAGCCCTGAGCATCATTGGGTGTGACCCCCAAAATAAATAAATAAATAAAAATGTGTTCGCTCACTCACCCCAACTCCCCAGAGGTCTGACACTGCACCCCAGTATCTGTGCACAGAGTCCCCCAGGAGAAGTGACAGGCGGGTGCTGGGTCCGGGTGGGGCCCCGAGATCCAAAGCACAGGCAGCTCCCCAGCACCCAACACACACACACACACACACACACGATCCAAAGCACAGGCAGCTCCCCAGCACCCAACACACACACACACACACACACACACACACACACACACACACACACACACACACACACCACGGCCCGGCTCACCCGACTCCTCGAACTGGCGGCTGTGCGTGGCCCAGGCAGCCTGCACCTGCCCCAGGCTGGCCTCCATGGCGCGCACGTCGGCGTCGGGGCAGTTGCAGTCGGGGAAGCCGGCGGCACAGCGGCACCAGCAGTCGTGGTCACGGCACACCAGCTCGCCCTCGGAACTGCACGTGATGTAGCTCAGCGCCGCCGCCACGAAGCGCTCCCGCAGGTACTCGGGCAGCAACGCCTGCAGGCCTGGGCAGGGGGCAGCGCGTGAGTGGGTGTCCCCCTCCACCCATCCCACCTCCCCTCAGGGGGGCCTGGGTGCAAACCAAGGCGGTTCGCACCCAGGAGTGATGGGGCCGCGAGGAGGGCCGCTCGCCTTGCACGGGTGAACCCGGGTTCGATCCCCAGCTCCCCACAAGGAGTGATCCCTGAGCGCAGAGCAGGGAATAAGGCCTGAGCACCCCAGGGTGTGTCCCCCAAACCGACAACACAGAACAACGGATTCCTGGGGAGCTGTGGGAAGGAGGACGGGATCTGGAGATCATTTCTGGTCCCCCCTGAAGGACTCAGCAGATGTCCTAGGCCACCCATGGAAGAAGACCAGACCATCCCTGTGACCCCAGGAAGTCGCCCCGCTGGAGGAAGCAGACACCCCACACCAGGACCCGCCACCCCTCTTCCTTCGGGGCGTCATCCAACAGGATGGAGAAGCAGGAAGGGGCACAGGGCTCTTTCCCCCTGGACTGGAACCTTCCACCGGCAGAAGGTTCCCCTGCATCACAACAGGAAGTGGAGTAAGGACAGACAAACAAGCCTTTGGGCACAGACGTGGAGGGGTTCGAGGCTCCCCCCTACACATGGGCTCAAACACCGTGGGACTTAGCAGCAACTTATCTGCACCCCCATCAGAAGGCACACAGAAATGCAGGGGGGGCTCCCAACTGCTCTGAAATCTTTCTCTCTCTCTCTCTCTCTCTCTCTCTCTCTCTCTCTCGCTGTCTCCCACACCCCGCTTCTCTCTCAAGGCTTTTTCCTCTCTCCTCCCTTCGCCCTAACATTTCCCGCGGACATAAAATCAGTGCCCCGAGAAGCGCCGGCCGCGCGATGGCCCATAAAACCAAATGGCATAAACTATTCCAAATGGAGCGCCAGACAGCCAGCCGGGCCCCAGTCCGCTGAGCGCCAGGAAAAGTCTCCCCACTCGATTCCTAAAGCCTGTGGGGGCTTGGGGCGTGCGTGGGGTGCGTCTGGCTGCAGGAGGGGGCCTGGAATCTGGACCAACGCTGGTTTTCTGATACTGGGACAAATAAAAGCTTTTAAGGGAATCCAATGCAGTTCCACCTCTTGAGTGACGTCACGAGCGTGCCCCTTCCCCGCCAGATGCAGTCTCTTAGCCCAGCTCTGCCTCCTGGATTCTTGCGGGGCAGAAAACAGGAGTGGGGTCTGCCCTCTCCAGCTGTACCCTGGCCTGGAATCCCCCAATGCCAGACAAGACGATAACCCCGAACAGCGACCTCCCCCCCCCCACCCCCCCACCCCCCCCCCCCCCCCCCCCCCGTCAGAGCAGCCGGTGGCTCACTTAGGGGAATGTGAGAGAGGGCGCCCCTCCCCTCTAACGGTAGGGGGAGCTTCGTGAGGGACGGAGGGCCTGAGCGAGGGGAAGACTGAGCACAGCTATGCCTTTGTCTGGCCACAGATCAATCTCCATCACATGGGGTGAGCCCAGAGGGGCCGGGTAGTGCAGTGGGTAGGGCCTTTGCCTCACATGTGGCCAACCTCACTACCTACCCATCCCAGCCCTCTTGGGGTACGCGGCCCTGCCCCCCAACAACCCCCCACTTACCAAGCAGCTGCACCTTGTTCTCGGGGCTCTGCACCAGAACGGAGCTGACCGAGTCCAGGTTGTCATAATTGCTGCAGCCCAGAGGCCCCGTCCTGGTCTCGGTGACCTAGATGGGCAGATTCCGCGTGCCCTCCTCAGGATCTCCGGTCATCCCGGAAGATTCCTAATTTTCAAATCTCTGGGGTTTCCCCTCCTTCCGCCGCCCCAACTCCTCCCCACTCAGTCGCACCCACTCTGCTTTCTCGGGACTTATCTCCCCCTAAGTTAGGATTTATACCTAGCTCTCCCCCCGCCCCTCTGGGGGCAGTCACATGAGCTCTTTCTAGAATATTCTAGCTCCCTCTTCACACTGTCTTCCCTAAAGGACCTCGCCCCCCCCCCCCCACACACACACACTTCCCGTCCCCACTTCCCTGGTTTTCTCTTCTACCACTTGACGTTCTAGATGGTTCTCTTTACATCGCCACCGCCTCACCCAGCCCAGATAAGGACCCACAGCTTCCCCGGGGGTTGGGAGTTGTAGAGTGGACACGTCCAGCGTTCTCAGGGGCCAGCGCATGCAGAGGGCGGTCAGGCGCTAGCGAGCAGATCAGAGCAAGAAGCAGAATTTCCTGTGATCCGGGCATTTGGTCCAGCCCGGGGTTGAGACCCGCCTGAAATCACTGAAATCATTTATATCGAGAACCAAAGCATCTGGCACCTTCCAGCCTTGTCAGCCCTCATCCTCCTCCCTAATCTTGGCGAATCCTAGAGAGAATCTATATCCTACATCGAGAAGATGGAGCTGGAATGACCAGGAAGGTTCCAGAAACCTTGGACTCGCACACACTCTGCTTATAAACCTTTCTGAGATCTTTCACAGCTTATGCCGAGGTCCCTTGTGCCAACACTGACTCCAACCTCCCTCCACCCCCAAACCTCACCCCCTTTGTTTGCACAGACAGGTTTTTCTCTGGCCTGCCCCAGGGCCTTTGCACCTGCTGTATGTCCCCTGGCCCCAAAGACACCTGACTTGTCTGTCCATTCTCTCAGTCTCTGAAACATCCCGGTTGATGCTGCGATTCTCTGCAGAGCCCCCCAGTCCCTCACAGGCCCCTTGTGGGACCTGGCCCTACCCACCTGCCCCGCACACGGGTTGTGGGGGGTCCTACCTTGATGGCGCCCGTGGCTATCTGGATGTGATGGAGCCGCCGCAGGGTGCTCTCCCTGTCGATGAAGTAGGAGGCCGCCAGCTGTGCAGCGTCTCCAGGGACACAGCGGAGCTGTTCGCGCTGCCCCCAACGGGCAGCACCCAGGCCACTGCCTGGGGTCTCGGATTTCCGGCTCAATTTCCGCTTGTCCACGAAAATCGTCAGAGACTCCTCCCCTGGGTGGGGGACAGGCGTGCGTGGGCGAGGTCCCCCAGACCTCCCAGGCCATCAGGAGCGGGGTGCGTTGGCCAGGAAGACAGGGAGCCCCCCTCCCTCTCTCCTGATGCTCCCCCAGTTTGGACATTCACCAGGCTGACCACTGGACAGCGGCCACCAGGAAGCCCTCCTCCCTGCTCTCCCACCCCTGCGACCTCCCAGAGCTTGCCCCCTTAACCTTCTCTCTCGGGCAGAGCCCCCTGCATGGTGGGGGGGGGGACCAGACCCCCTCTAAGACTCCTGTACCACCAACTGGGTTTTGATCAAAAGAGAACTAGCAGCGCCCCCTACTGGCCAGTATGAGCAGGCCCGTCCGAGCACCCAACCTCCTCACCCTCCACCCCCACTCACGGGACCCCCCCCCCCACC